CTTTGGATTTTTAAAAGGGTGGTCAACTTGGGAATCATCTTAAAGCAATGATTTGTGTGGACTGTTGTTCTCCTATCCCTTCTTATTTCAAATAGTGTTTAAATGGTGAAAGCCTGGTTTTTCCATTTTTAACTTCCTAACATATAGGTCTAGGATGCGTGACATGAGTCTTAAGCATTGGTGTTTTTCATTTAAAAAATTCAATTTGAAAAAGAATTACAGTAAGCTGAACTCTTAGTTGAAGCAATCCATGTATGCACATTGGCATGGATTGAAAAATGCGTAGAACCTTAATTTTGAAATGCTAATTCATTGCACAGAAGTCTAAAAAATTATAATCCTTTCAATTGGTAGTATCATGGTATGCTCCCTCAACATCTATCAAGCAGTCCTTAAATGTAAATGTTGCTTGAATGAAGATCTAGAAATATCATATATTGAATCTTAAAACTGTTGTGGTAATTTTATTTAAAATTTTGACTATAAACCTTTTTGTACAATGATAGGTGAAGGCTGCATTGGAAAAGCCAGGCACTCCCTCTTTTGTAGATGACATAGTATCTCGTTTCCCAGGATTGAAGAGTGGAAGGTTTTGGAAAGAGCATCACGATCTATTACCACTCCATACTGTATTAAAGTATGTTTCTTTTTTATGTTTATTTCTCTTTTCTGTTCTAAAAAGAGGTAAATTGAACGAAATGGAGATAGAAAGGAAGATGCATCCTTTATAAAGAAGGCAAAGATATGAGAGAAGTATTAAAGTACATAGCTATAAGTTATAGTTTGATGGGAATTTTATGTGTTGGCGACAATTATTTTTTGATTTGTTTAATTTGATTGCCAACCACGGTTTTAGATTATGTGCTATGGTAATTTGGTGCAAAACATTTTCTAGACACACTGTGTGAGTTACTTGAGAAAAAAATAAATAAATTCATTTTCAAAGTATATATTGAATAGAAGTGATAATGTAGGCAGTACAGTACTAGCTATACTTGTCAATAAGTTTAAAGTTTATGTTTCAGTTAATGTCCTAAAAGCATGCCATAGCTGTTGATAAGCTCTACCCTCACCTTCAAGAGTCAGATTGGCTACCTATTGAGCAGCTCAGCTAGTTAATTTGAAAACCTGGATTTATCATTGTGTCCCAATCCAGTTGGCTTCTTTCAAATTGAAGAGACAAGCCTTTTCATGTGGCAGGATGTCCTTAAAAGGAAACTACTGGCTTTAAATAACTGATGTTATTTGTACAACTGTCGGTGATATTTTGCCAAAGGTTTAAATGGCCTTTTTTCCTCAAACATTAAATTTTGCTTTATAAAATTTGATGAACAGTGAGGACAGTACCATTCTCGATAACTGTTTACTATTGAAGTAATAGTATGGATTTGATATTGGATTAGATGAACTTATCAAAAAAAGAAAAAAAAAATGCTGCTAGTTAGAAGTTTTAGGTTGGTCAGCAATCATTTGCAACTAGTCTGAATAAGCACCTTAATCATTTTGATCCTTCTGGGTAGACATTTCTTTTTTATGTGGACCTTTTTTTGTTCCTTCGTTAACACACCCTGAGAAGTGACTCCTACAGAAGAAATTTCAATGTGTGTCTTACTTTTGTTTTTTTGTTCAGGAGGTAATTGCTATAAGCTTATTTGGCAGCACTTTCTGTTTTTATTTATTCCTCTTTAAGTTTCCTGTATTATTTTCTGTTCTTGGCATTAACCTCAGGATCTTTTGTAATTAACCTATGGTTTTATGTATTGCTGCTTCGTCTTAATTCCCACTTCTTTGTCATAAGAGTTTGATCTTGTCTTCTTGCTTTCTTGCACGTGACTTGTTGCTAGGTTTGCCTTTATATATTTCATACGAGTTTTTAATGTTTTAAATCGTTCTTCCTTTATCCCAGCTCTGGAGCTTGCCAAACTTCCCATTGGAAATCTGTGCATAAGACAAAATGCAAGGACTTTCAATTATCTGGGCAGGTAAAATCAATGCAGTCTGCATATATGTAGCATGGACGGAGAGATTCTAGTGCAGTTGCACTGGTTCCTTCCAGTGGAACCATTAATATTACCAAACAGTCAAAAGAGGTAAATAATTTCCTTTTTATTGATCTTTATATTCATATATTTTAGTATGCCTTTTGGTTGGGAAGGACACCAGTAATGTGCAGTAACATTTCAGATTCTTTTACCCTATGAGGATTTTGTGGAACTATTTAATTGGGACAAGCGAGGAATTCCTCCATGTGGGCTTCTTAATTGTGGAAATAGGTTTGTGTTTACCATTCCATTATTTGTTCTAAACTTATTGTTCAGATGGTTTCGCTGGCTTGAGAGCTTCAATTGCATAAAGTGCACATGCGTAAGTATCCAGTTTTAACTCACAATGTGCTATATTGTAATTGTATTTGTGCAGCTGCTTTGCTAATGTGGTTCTACAATGTCTTGTGTACACTCGGCCCCTTGTTGCCTATTTGTTGGAGAAAGGCCATCGAAAAGAATGTAAATGCAGACCAGAACTTTTTGTGGCCTATATTTTATGGATGATCAAACAATTTCTCACTCTTTTGTTTGTTGTTTCTTGTTGCTCAGGCAGACAGAATGATTGGTGCTTCCTTTGTGAATTTCAAACCCAAGTCGAAAGATCCAGTGAAAGTCGACATCCCTTTTCACCAATTAATATTCTCTCGCGGTTACCTAATATTGGTGGTGACCTTGGCTATGGAAAACAAGAGGATGCGCATGAGTTCATGAGGTCCTATTACTTGTTTTACTCCTAGTTTAACGTAGTTTGTCTCTATCTATAAAGAAAATTTTATCATGAACCCTCGTGTATTTGATGGCCACTGTTGGTATAATATGATAAAGTTTTACTGATTTCAATAACAAATTTTGCACGTTTCATTTTGATTTAGGCTCCATTTGTTTCAACGTAAAGTATTTTCACAAAAAAATATTTTTCTTGTAAATTGATTTTACATAGAAAAAATATTTTTCTTTTTGGTTTTCGGCGTTTGGTTGACACTTGAAACAAAAACATTTTAGTGCCTAAAAGAGAAATTTTGATCCAATAAAGTGTCATTTATGATTTTTTAGTGAGCTAAGATATTTATTTGAATAGGCTAAACATGTCGAAAAGGTAGTGAGTGAGAGTTAACTTTGTAAAACTTGACTTGCGAAATTTTTAAAGGTAAGTCATTTTTGAGAAAATGATGCAAAAATATTTTCCTTCAAAAATATTTTACTTGTTTTTTGTTCAACTGCACAACGGAAAATGAGTTAAATTTTTTAGACAAAAACATTTTACTTGGAGTTGTAATTTAAGAACTTTTAAT